GAATTTATATAGAAAATATACTTTTTCCAGTGTCCGCCATCCCCCCCCCCCCCTCACTCCACCCCTCCGGAGAAGAAAGTCTGGAAGAAACACTGATAATACGTGTCGAGAGATCCTAGTTTCCTGACCACCTTCGTTAAAACATTATTGCTTAGTTAATTAGATTATTATTCAAACAGAGCTAACAAAACTCGTTGTTGAGTATTTTTTGAAAGCTCTACACAAATGTTTGAGTACAAATTGTTAAAGCGTTGTTCAAACTCTTGTTATGTGACTTAAGAAACAAGTGCTTGAATGATTGATTTGGTGTAACGATTGGTTTGGTGTGGCGATTGGTTTGGAGTGGCGATTGGTTTGGTGTAGTAAATGATTTGTTGTTGTGATTAATTTGGTGTGCTGATTTATTTGGTGGTGTCACAAAACCACTATCTTATGTTTTTAAAAATCGTCTGTAGAGTATATATGGAACTATCTTATGTTTTTTTTAAAAATCGTCTGTAGAGTATATATGGAAATGCGACTGTGACTTTTTTTCCGTTTACCGTTTTAACCCCCCCCCCCCCCAACACACACACACACACACACACACACACACACACCTCTTGGCGTAATCCTGCCTACGCCTCTAATTAATTTGTATTCATTAAATTGTATAAGAACTAAAGTTGTTTCATAGTACGGTTATTGATTAATGCGGTTTCGTGGAAGATTTAAACAGGGATGTGACCAGACCAGGGAAAAAAATTAGGAAATTTTCTTCGGACAAGAACTCAATATGTTTTATCTATTTTTTTAATCGCAGTTAAAGCAGTCTCACGCCATTACTGTTCTAATTAATCGTTTAATATAGCTAATATTATAAATAAAAGAAGTTTATGTTACTCTAAAATGACATTGAAAGTCTTGTCGAATTGCAATTTAATGTTTAACTTATAAACAACTTTTAAAAAAAAAATTACAATTACAATGTAACAAAAGTGGCAGTTAAGTTCAACATTTAGCTAATTTAAAGTGTACTAATGTAGTCTAGTTACACTTTTGTTTTCAATTTTAAATTATGCCTTATATTCTTTTAAAGATTGGCATGGTAAAAATGTTAGTCTTCAACTGTAAAATGCCTAGATTCAGATTAATTGTAATTTGAAAGTTTTGGGTTCAGGTGATGGAAAATGAAATTGACCAGATTAGCTGAAATTTAGAAAGGGTCTGATATGTGAACCAAAGTTAACCATTTCGATAGCCAAACCACATTGTTATTTATGTTTTTGGAATGGCTTAACTGTAAATTGTTTGAGGTCATCCATAAATGACGTCACGTTTTTTTTTTACGATTTTTACCTCCCCTCTCCTCTCCATCATAAAAGACAGACCCCCCCCCTAAAATGACGTCACACCTCAGCCAAAAACCGCTCCACCCTCCTCAATATTGAATTTGAATTTTTTTTTTAAACATCGATTTTTTTTTCTAAAAGATTGACTGAGCTCGACCAACGTAGGATATTTTAATTAATTTATATTACAATTTTTTTTAAGTTTTCTAAAACGCGTAATAGCGGCTAAAATTCAGTTTCTAACATTACTTTTTTAAAATAAAAAAAAATATGACGTCACACTATCTGACCCCCTCCCCCTCAATACACGTCACAAAATTACGGATCCCCCCCCCCCCCCACTACGAGTGTGACGTTGTTTATGGAAGACCCCTTATTAATAACAGTCCATGTCGTATTTTTTCTTCGGAGTCACGTTGAGTTCAGTTTTTTTTTTTTTTAATCTTTAGGCCTATAGCATAGGTATTGCAGGAACAGCTATTTGAAATTACTGTGACGTCATTTTAATTTTTTTTCCCACAAGCAGTACCAAACACGTAATTGGGAGTCAAGGTGAGGTCACAAGAGCCACGGTTGCTACAAGGGGGGTGTAGTCTAGTCCTTATAGACATAGTCACCTTTTGCAAGGATTTTAATATTAATTTTAGATAGCTAAATAAAATAAAATCAGATAGAAACTGTAGATTTGGGTGGGTTTAAATACAGAAAGATAAATTAGGCTATATCGATAGCTAGATTACCAGGCTAGGGAGATGCGAGTTTCATTTGAAGAAAGGCATTATTTTAGAGTACTTTTTCCCGTGTTTTTGATAAATATTCAACTGATATCAGCGGAAAAATTTGGACCAAAAAATTGCGTTCTGAAAAATACTGAAATTCGCAGAAATTCTGAATCTTGACCTAGATCTAGATCTATGTTTCATCTTAATCTAGCACCGTCAGACCTAGCGCAATCGTCTAATTAAAAAGAAATGTGCGTATTTGACCTAAGTACTGTAATTTTCGATTTAAATACTAATATATGGAATGCGCAAGTCGGCCGTTTCAGTAGATGTCATTTTCGTTTTTTTTTTCCTAATTTTTAAAACTTCGGCAAAAATCGAAGATCGGCGGAAAAATTCGGAAAAAATGAAATCAGCGGAGGAAAATTGCAGCTGAAACGGAAAAATCGGATTTCCGCTAAAATTCGGAAAAGTCACATCCCTGTTTAAAGTATTTGATTAGTCTGGCTTGATTGAAATGTATAAGAGAGTGGTGAGGGGGGGGGGAAGAAACAATCACCTTGCTTGTTGTGTAGTTGCTGGTGGGGTGGGGTTTGATGGGAGGGGGTGACAAGAGTTTCGTCTCCCTTGTTATGTTGTTGCTGCTGGAGTAGGGTCGGGGGGGGGGGGTGTAAAGTCTAGTTCAGTCTTGCTTGTTGTGTTGTTGCCGATGCCACGTCCACACATTAACGTTGGCGTTAGTCAGACAGTGGTAAGGTGTGGATGGGCAGTAATCGACGTCTATATTCTGGACATTGACCCTATTGGGAGAGGGGAGAAGAGGGTTGCACACGTTTTTCATGATCGGATATCTTTTTATATCTAGATTTAGGTCTATTTGATAAAATACTTACTTTATTCATGATTATACCAGATATTATTAATCATTTAAAACACACAATGTGTAGTGACATTGCTAAACAGCAGTGGATCACTAGTTAGGTTCGTGAGTAACAACACCAGCGATGGTTCTAGAACAGTTTGTGCTGCGTAATGGCCACGTGGTGTCTCGCGCGCCCTCTGACCTACATTTGATCAGCTGTGTAGATGTGGGTTATCGCAGCTGTTGGTCACGTCCGATAACTCAGGCAATAAAGCGATTGTTGCTGGCGATTATTCATCTGATAGTGGACCCGTCGTGGGCATGTGTTGGTGGGGGTGGGGGTTGGGAACGGCTTGCGACCATGTGGAAAAATCGTTTTGTATCATTTAGTGAAAAACTAAATTAGATCAAGTTAAAAGCGAAAACAAAAAGACATTTACTAACACAAATGAAAATCCGCGTTGAAATGTGTATTTTTAATTCTAACTTCAAATACTTTTTTAAAACAAAAAACTATCGAGACTAATCCTGTAATGAGTAACAGTGTTTCTTTCAGTCTTTTCTGGGGAAGGAAGAGGGGGGGGGGCACTTGAAACTTTTGGTTTGATGGGGGTCGGATAATAGTAAAAGTTTATATTTTATTATATAAATTACATTTCGGTCGAGTGGGGGGGGGGGGAGGGAGGGGGAGAAGGTTAACAGTAGATGTTCTTTGTGATGCCCGAAGTGATGCCTGAAAGACTCTGGTAACAACAGAACCACTTTGAGGCGAGGGTGCTGTTTGAAATGTAATACTTCATATCCCATGTCAAAATGTTTCTAATTCAAGCTAAAACCATATACAACATGAATCCTCGCAAGAATTGGGTGCATAAATTGTCACGAAATGTGTAACATGCACCTGGAACACGCAGTTCGTCATGATTGGTTGGACAGTGAGTTATAGCTGGGAAATTTTGCTCAGGTTTTGATTCATACCTGGCCCGCTGTGACAGGTAGCTCTGTGTTTCATAGCCTTGACTAACTCCCAGGTATTGAACCTGTGTTTCATAGCTTTGACCAGTGGCGTAGGCAGGGGGGGGTTAGGGGGGGTCATAACCCCCCCCATAGACCCCTCGGTATATATAAAAAGTATGAGGGGGGGTGCAAATCGAAAGTTTGAGGGGGGGGGTGCAAATCGAAAGTTTGAGGGGGGGGGGGTGCAAATCGAAAGTTTGAGGGGGGGGTGCAAATCGAAAGTTTGAGGGGGGGGGTGCAAATCGAAAGTTTGAGGGGGGGGTGCAAATCGAAAGTTTGAGGGGGGGGGGGTGCAAATCGAAAGTTTGTCCCCGGGTAAAAATTGGACCCCCCCCTTGAGACGATCCTGGCTACGCCACTGGCTTTGACTAACCCTTTCTATGTACATTTAAGGTTTTTTTTTTTAAGGTTTGTAAGGTTTTATTTCTTTTTTTTTTTTTTTATTTTTATTGTTCATGTGATTTTTTTTTTTTTTATATATATTTTTTCAAGTAACACATTTTGTGATTTTTTTAAAGTTACGAAGTGACAAATATCCTTTTCTAGAAAATAAGTTTTATAGATAATTAAAAGAAAGAGCAATTAGTCACAAGCTTCAAGAATAGGCTGTATCGAACCCTAATAACAATTTTAGTTGCCACGTTTAGCTGATTTCATGTTTGAGTAAGACGACGATTATAGCAATGTTACATAATGTATTTTATCGATAGCGTCCCTTGCTTGGCCTGGCAACGAACGAAACAAAGAGCAACTCAACCAGCGCTATAAAAGCGCGGGGAAGTTTCGCTCGGGGTTCCCTCGTTAGGTGGCGCAGCGTTCAGGAAACCCCTAAAACACGATGACTAATGCGAGTTCTTTCATTGATTCATCGCGGTTCTATTTTTTTTTCTTTTTATCTCCCCTCGTTCCCTTCTATGAGCAGCACGACAGTTCATTCACACGCCGTAGCGAGCGGCGATTGGCTGGCTACGCGGCTCGGCGATGTGCCAGTTCGTAGTTTTGATTCGTCGGAAAACACCGCTACGTCTCGCGCAAGGGGGAGACACGCGAGGCCGAGGCAGGCGTGTAGCTGACACGGCCCGCTCAAAAAGCGAACAGGTGTTTTCACATCAGCCGGAGTTTAGTCATATCCCAGTTTTAATTCGACTGTGGTGTGTGTTCTCTAGGTCCTATCTTGGACCAGTTGCATATACACGCTGTGTGAGTGAGGATGTGTTCATGTGATCGTGTTCACTAATCCGATACCAGCTCGCCGCAACAGTGTAACAAATATTCTTGACAGTGGATTATTTTAACCCTGTTTTAGACAACAACAACACGTCAATATATTTTTAAAAATCGAACCAAGTTTGGACAACGTGTTGAATTTTGGTATTGTTCATTAAATTTTAATTACTAATATTTTAATTGTGACTTACATTGCTTTATTTTCAAGCTAAAATTCTCAGATTCAAGCTAGTGAAATATTGGAGACATTTCTGTTTCACATTTTCAATTTGTGCGTGGAAACCAATACTATGATGTTCGAATCGTGATGGAGGTCTCAAGCGAATTTGACCGTGAGTTGAGTTCGGGTAGTGGCTACAGCGTGATTCGCTCTTCGAACTGATGCTTCCTGGATTACCTTTCGGTAATGGTTATCCTGGTCGAACCGTCGTCGTGTGATCGCCCCACGCGCCGTACTCACCCCAGAAACTCCATCACCAGCAGCATCACCAGCCTCAGCAACATCACCAGCCTCAGCAACATCGAGCCCAGGGACAACAAGCTGGCGAACAAACTCAACAGCCAAATGCCCGAAGCAGGAGACGTCAGCGTCCTGGCCCCCACCCCACTTCACCACACCAACGCCAAACTCAGCACCTGGAACGCCCGCCGCCACCTCAAGCTCAACCTGAACCTCGCCCAGTGTCACCACACCGGCGGGGTGTCCTACAACGCCGCCAACCTGTCCGGCCGTGTCGTCACGTCCGGCAACACCGTCAACCGGCCGTCGCGGCTGATTGTGGAAGAAACCCACATGACCTCCAAGAAATCTAAACTTGACTTTTGCACCCTGCCCTTCTCGACCCCGGCGTCGTCACTTCCGGGTAACCCTAACCACCTGCACATCAACCTCCAGAACCAACAGCTGAACCGTGGGAGCTCCTCCCCGACCGGAAACTCCATCCACCCGTCCGACGTCGTCCATTACACCCAGACCTTCTCCTCGTCCTCCTCCTACTCCTACTCGTGCAGCACCAACTCCAACCCTCCGAGCAACAACTACCAGAAGTCTAACAACACGGCCACCTCCCCCACCACCGCGTTCATCAACAACACCCGTATGTCCCCCTTGTCCAGTCCGGTGGTCAACAGCTGTGGCTGCGGCATCGTCTGTAGCGCCATCTCGGCCTGCACCCCGCCCTCGCTCTCCAACTCGTCCCCGAAAGCCAAGTTAAAATCCATGACCCCCGAGCACCTGGCCGTGGCCGTCAACACCTCCAGACCTGTCCTCCTCATCGACGTCCGTTCCTCCAACTCCTACCACCGCAACCACATCCAGGGCGCCGTCAACCTCTGCTGCACCGACCGCTTCAACCGGCGGCGCATCCAGATGGGTAAAAGTTCTGTGTTTGACATTCTGGGCATGAAAGAGTCCACGGCCTCGCCCTCCACCAAGCGGAAGTCCTCGTGCTCGTCCAGCATGGATATCGTGGTCTACGACGACCACACCTGCCTGCAGGATTTTGCTGAGGCGTCACAGAGCCAGGACACCGCCCTCTGTACGGTGCTGACGTCACTGCTGAGGGACGGCAACGACGTCCATCTGTTGGACGGTAAGTCTAATTGTTACGTCACTCGGGTTGATTGGGTTATGGCGTGCAGACATTTAATTACATGTATCTTGGGGAGTATGATGCATAGGCAGCCAGACGCTGGCAGAGTACAATGAATATGTAACAAGAGACGGGACTTTTATATGTGTGGTTTAATGTCTGCTCACCACAGTATTTTATCGTCAGCTTTGTTCCATTCTAATTTAATATACAGAATGATTAGGCTGCACATAATTAACAAGTTATGGTGTGTCTGAATCTTAACAGAATCTAGATCTATAACCTTCCTCACAAACCTGAATCCAAAACCACCCTCAAATCATGACTCCAATCCACACTCACATCCTCTAATCCAAACTATGAGCTTGACCCCAACCCATACACCACCCAACCGCTTTAGTGTGTGACAAAATAATGGCTAGTTTTCCCTCCACAAAGTCGTGTGCGGTTCAAATTTACATCTCTCTATCACGAGCCACCAACTTAATGAATGGGCATCTGTTTTCCTTTGAGTTTTGCCAGATTTTTGTCTTGCTGGGACCCTGTCTCACTTGAAGCATACATTCACCAAGTATAAATACACGCCTCATTTCACTCAAAGCATACATTCACCAAGTATAAATGCACACGTTTACATAGTTTATATAAACCTACAAGCCGAATTTATTTCAAGAACTCATCTTACCCGTTAATTCCAGTGATATATCAACGCTTGTAAACATTTCATGACAGACTTTAAAGTTGGGTGGGGGTGGGGGGTCACAATTTGGGTTGGCAGTACCTAATAGGTCAAGACCCTCTGACGACTGGCCTGCCCAACTGACAAACACTCAGCCATGACATTACAAACCTCTTGAAGTTTTAGCCTAGTTATTTGAATGATGTCACGACTTTGCAGGATGTTTTGTGGATGACGCAAAATTTGACGTCACTGGTTTTTGTTGTCAACACGAACTCTCCTGTAGTTTGAGACGAGTAGTCGTTGCACGTTACTAGTACAATGGCTATTGTTTTTCACAATAAGCACACGTTTAACTAAATAAAAGAACAGTCTTGTTAAATTTAGGCTAAAAAATCCGCCCTGTTGTCACCACTACTCAGGAAGTTAAATTACAAATGTCTTCCCACTTTCCTCAAAAGTTGATGTGTTTAAACTGTGATTACTAAATTGTAGTTTTTGGGTGTTTTCTTTTTTCCCACGTTTTCTTTAACTTGCTTTCTCTGTGTCTTTCTGTGTTTGTCTTTCCAATCCAATCTTGCGATCGAAATTTCTGGCACTTCCCAGTTAGCTAGCGCGCTGAAATTTTCAGGGAAGCTTTCTTTTGGATGACCATTGAATATTCAATTGTTATTATTACTAAATTAATCCATGGAAACATTTTATTGATCATTTTAGACCGCTATATAATTGTACCAAAAAACGTGGGGGAAAAGGGACATTACCCAGTAACTGTAATTTGACGAAAACAAGGTTCGGCACTCCCCCTCTTTTTGCTTACTGAGTAGTTGTCACGCTGTGTTTGTGTACAAACAACCATAACGTAACAACTGGTGGCCAGTTTGGGGGAGACGATATGGTCGAGTGGTTGGGCACACGATTGCTATCCCACTCGACACGGGTTCAAATCTATGTGTTCTAGTCAGTAACGTATTCACACAACGTGTTTTTTACGAGTTGTCTTTTTACGAGTTGTCTTTTTACGAGTTGTCTTTTTACGAGTTGTCTTCGTTTACCCAAAAAAAAAGTGAAAAGATAAAATCGATAGCAAGATTTACATGCAAACAAACAGACAAACACTAAAAAGTAGAAAATAATAATCATTAAAAAAGTTTTAAAAAACCCACGTTTTCTGATTGAACTAAAAAGTAGAAAATAAATACTATACATCACAATAATGCAAGCGATCACTCTACTATAAGCTATCAAAAACGTGGGGCGCCGTGATTTTCTTACAGTTTCTAATACTGTTGACTCTCTACAAGCTCCCTAATAAAAGTCAATAGTATTATCTAATCAATAGTAATATAACTTTTACTTCGGCGACCCACGTTTTTGATAGCTTATAGTAGAGTGATCGCTTGCATTATTGTGATGTATAGTATTTATTTTCTACTTTTTAGTTCAATCAGAAAACGTGGGTTTTTTAAAACTTTTTTAATGATTATTATTAAAGATTTAATAGTTTGTTCAAAGTTTCACTTCTATATTCATAACGGGACATCATATAATTATAAAAAAACTCAAATATATAAGGTAGATTCCTTTTCATTTGTATTTTATGTCCGCGTGGTCTGTCTTTACATATGTTTTAGATTTATTTATTTTTTTTGGAGATTTTTTAATGTTATTTGTCTATACTATACACCATCACTATATATTAGCCAGTCTATCTACCATGCACCACCAGGTTTAAAAAATATGTTTATTATTCTTCGCCTGTGATTAAGACCACGTTTTGGCTTCAACCCCCCCCCCCCCCCCCTTACACATTTCAGCAACAACTAGTCCAATCTAGCCATAACAAGTCTCCCCACTTAAAAAAAACGTTGACAGAAATGGTCAGCAATGATGACTCAGACACAAATGTAAACAAACGTGAATCTAGGTCACTTCCCACAAACCACAGCGCATAACCCTGAAAGAATAAAATGCGATGATTTTTATTTTCATTGCTTTTGTTAAAGCTACAGTTAAATCTATTGACATATGCTACACCGATTTTCATGCGAGCCTAATTTTTGTTAATTATTTCCTTTATTTATGAAACTTATTATTTTTATTGCTAGTTACAACACTTTAAAAAAACTTTATTTCCTAAAGTTCTAATCAACTAACTTGTAATGTAATCAACTGATCAGCATATCAACTTCGTCTTTATCTTTCTATCATTTCTACTACAGCAGTTAGTCAATTCTCGTTCTTTAGTTTTTATAAGAATATTTAGTCTTCCTACGTCTTTCATCTCTCAACCATCGTCTAGTAAGTCTTTGTCTTCTATATTATACCCCCCCCCCCCCCAACTTTTTATCTCTCTAGACCAGTTTATTATATCACGAGCTATAAATCCCCCCCCCCCCCCCCCCCCCCGGTCCCCTCTGTACTTGTGTCTATCACCGTACTGTCGAGCAGACGGTAGACACGACATCGCGGTACATTGACCTGGATCCGGCGTGACTCACCCACCGCTCAATAAACACTGACGTCGAAAGCTTCTATTTTTTTTTCTCTCATGTTTTTTTTTTCTGCAGGTAAATAAAAAAACAAAAACAGTTTGAACGCCAGTGCAATATAGTTAAGTCTTATTTATTAAAGATAAGCTTAGCTCTAGGCACAAATACAAAGGGATATTTTTTTTTTTAAAAAGCTAAATGCACGCAATTCGCTGACATTTTACTAGGTATATCGTCTGTGTTAAAGGTTATCCTTTAAAACGTATTGATCGTCACGGTGTACATTAAAAGTCTAAAGTATGGATCTTTTATGTATACATATAAAAGTATACTTTCGTTCGTGTAAGTTTATTTTTAGTTGGGTATATCAGCCCCCTCCTCAAAAATTTGTTTTAGAAACTTGCCATGACCAGTGTCTAACCACTAGTCAATAAGTCATAACCAGAAACTTAAAACCTGACCACAATAGTGATGGTGTATCACTAAGCCAACAGGACGTCCAGATTTGGGTATGGGTCGGGGGTGGAGGTCCGCGTGAGTAGACAACTCAACACCAGCTTCAGCTGTTAACCTTATTGTGTTGTCATAGATGCGACAACTTATGTAACAAGTATGTAACAATGACATTGTTACAGATGTGATACTTTATGTAACTTGCAGCAGTCTCAGCATAGATAATCGATTTGCGAATTTTGACAGCTGCACGATTTGCACATTTTGACAGCTGCACGATTTGCACATTTTGATGTCTGCACAATTGACGGACTGGTGCGTGCAAACACAATCTTGAACTTGACACACTTTTGGTCTCGAGCGCTATATTTGACCTCGTTTGCGTGTAGACCACATGAGTTGTGCTACTCTCGACCCCACAGCTGGTAGGGAGCAAAGGGCGGTGGAGTGGATGGGGGGGGGGGGGGCGAGATAAACATGAATACGTAGTGGTTAAGTTCGCTGGCCACGTCATCTAAGACTCCACCGGCTAATCAACAAAGCTGTTTTTCTGTTCACAAAGCGAGGTGATCGTTTAACAAAGCTGAGCATTAGTGGATGGGGGGGGGGGGGGGGGTACGACACTACAGTGTTTACTTCATGGTGAATCAGATAGATTTTTTTTTCTTTGGGCGAGATCTCGCGCCAAATGAAGCGAGAATCTCGTTGATTGTGTTAGGACTTACGTACGCGCTGGCCGAGAGTGGAGTGGATTAACGCAGGGGACACAACCCCCTTTGTGGTTTAGTCAAACCAGGGGCGTGTAATCGGGCAGGAATGTCGCGTGTCACGGTCCAGCACGGAGGATGTGTTGAGGGCTGAAGAGGCTGGTGGATGGGATGACTAACTTGACAACCATTTTTTGGCAGGGGTTAATTGTCGTAAGGGGGGGGGGGGGGGGAATGGGCAGCTCCCACCAAGAATTTGAATTCACTGAAGACAAAAAGTGACTGGATTTCGTTTTGCTTGTGAATTTGGTGGTCTTCAATCCTTCTTTAAATGAACTAGACCATTCCGACCTTTCCTTTTAATCTCTCCTGTTATAGACTAATCATCATACGTTGGTTATCTTCCTTGTTTTTATAAGTAGAAATAGTCATACCATTTAAACATCTTAGTAATATAATGACTCATGATCAACCTATTAGTTTTTTAAAGCTCCTTAATGGTATAAAAATTATAAATGGACTAATAGTATTACAAATACTTGCGTTTGAAATACATTTCTCAAGTTTCGGTTTTTGTAGAATTTAGACGAGAAACGCCCTGATTATTTTTTTTTCTAAAAATGTTGGGTTTTTAACGAATAAAATGAAATGTATTTATCTAGTTAATTGATACATCCGATTTCCAACTTATGTGACTGCTATGTCTGTTTACTATGTGAATCTGAAGTGCACTCGTGGTATTTACTTCCACGTTTGTGTTCGCTGAAGAAGAAAGTTTAAAGCTCAGCGAAGCAGCGACGGTACGGAATCCCCGCATCTATAAATAGCCGTGACGTGTTGGTGTTTCTCCGCCCTTGTGCAACCTATCCGTATCATGTCTCGAGCCCTAAGACGTGTGAAGAGACCCTCCCTAATTCCGAGCTTGTTTTTCACAGCCGCGTTGACTTGATTTCCTAACACGTAATTCAGCCGGATATTATAAACTGTGCTTGTCTTAATGGAAATTCGTGACGTTGGATTCTATAAATAACAGAGACCTTTTGCTAAACATGTGAAAATCATTTCTTTAATAATTAATGTCAATATTTCACCCTCAAAACCGCACGTTTTCAACCGATATAAAATGAGAATTCGCCCTGATTCTGTGGTCAGCTCATAACCTCAAATTACACAATTCACTCGATATTCTATCTCTGGTCTCACTAAATTATAAATGATTTAACTTAGTCATCATTATACGTACTTAAGTTTACGTTATCTTTACGTGTTATGTTATGATAGCACAATGCGATGGTTCGGTCTGATGACTCTCCTAGCCTGCCCTGTCTTTAAGAATGTGTAAGTTAGGGCCCCACCTGACGTGAGAGAAACATCACCAGCTTGACGTTCTAGGTCACAGCGAGTGCCACTTCCCCCGCCGGTCCTTTCAGCGTTTCTGCACCCTCGACCTTTGACCCCTGACTTGTGAGCGAATCTCGCGCTTCCTGCCACGTTTGGGGTCAGACGCTCCGTGACCTTCCTGCGGCATCTGCTTGTCCCGACCCCCGTGTTTGTCTGTCCCTGCATCAAATTATAGCGCCTCGACCCCCCCCCCCCCCCACCCCCGTTTGTCCCTGCCTCGGAGTTAGCGTCGTCTCCCCCCCCCCCCCCTCCTGTCTGAAGTCGTTGCTCACCGTTTGCATTATTCTGCCACGTGTTTTTAACGTGCCCGTAATCCCCCCCCTCCCCACCTTGCCGTTTGGTTTATTTTCCTTCACCCCCTTCACTGTTGTCTTCCTCCCGTCTGCCTGCCGTCTACTCAAGCTAGACCGTCAATGAATCATCAACTTCGACGTTAAAGCGACAACATCACATTTTGTTTGCATGACCTGATCTTGCGGCGACCGGACCAATTCTTACTAAATTAGTCCAACATTTTCCCCAGTGTGTTATTAAATTAGCCCTACATTTTTAATGGTGTGGATACTAGGGTATAATTGTAACTGGGTAGACACTATCGTAGTTGTGTTGTCTGGGTGGTTTTTTTTTTTTTTAATGATCTCAACTTTCTGGAATAATTCGATACTTAAAGACACAAACACCCCAGTGCCTTTCAGACATTGCGGTCTATAACGGAAAAGTTATCAGTGTTTGGGGACAGGGGTTTGATAGGATTGAAAGACCAGCCGTTCAGATTAATATAGCTCACTCAGGTGATCCCAACTCCAAACGCGCTATCCATAAACCACTGTCCAGTATCCACCATCCAATATCCATCAACCAGTATCCACCACCCACTATCCATCACCCAGTATCCACCTCAGTATCCACCACCCAGTATCCACCACTCACTATCCACAACCCACTATCCACCACCCACTATCCACCACTCAGTATCCACCATCCATATCCACAATCCCGCCTCGAGTATTTAACCTAACCTGTAATGTCTCTCCCCATTGCAGGCGGCTTCAAGAGCTTCAGCATCGAGCATGAGGCGCTGTGCCGCTCCAGCTGCCGCAGCATGGAGATCCACAAGCCGCTGCTCTACAGCCCCACCAACGGCGTCCAGGAGCCGGAGATCGAATCCGCCACAGCCTCACAAGTTTTGCCATTCCTTTATCTCGGTCAGTCATCACGGGGCGTGTGTGTGTGTGTGAGCGATTGCAATTGAGATATTGTGTGTATGAGTGTGTGTGTGTGTGTGTACACGAGTGTATGTAATTGAGTTTGTGTGTGTCTATGAGAGTGAAAGACAGAACAGCATTTACGTTTTTAACGTGTTTCTGAGTAAGCAATACGGTGTTAGTTGGCATTAATTGTCATAATTAATTATTATTGTTGCTGTTATATGCTAATATGTGTGATTACTTCATGCCTCTCTACGCCGTCAAACCACCAATTTGCTTTCACTAAACTACCTGATCCGTTCGACTTACATTTACTTTATATACCGCTGTAATATTCTCAACCACTGACCTATTGAGGTGGACCTTGTTCAAGGTCAGCCTTGTATGTGCTCACCCGAGGAGGGAACTTGAATGCCAGACGGGTGAGGGGGGGGGGGGGGCGGGTCGAAGGATCAAGAGATCATTTCTGCCAGGGCGGGAGAAATCCCAGACTTCTGTCAGGGCTACACGTGAAAATTGGGGGCCTGGTTGGTCCGCCTCATTGGAGCCAGACAGGTGGACTGAGTGACCGTTTGATTAGCCCGTGGGGGGGGGGGGGGGCGGTGACGGCGGGACGGGGTTATATTAGTCCCGTTTAAAAGGCAGAGTATGGCTTGATTAGAACGCAATACTTCTTGCTCTTGTACAAAAAAAAATGGGGGGGGGGTATATCTTTTAAAGTTGTGGAATAAACAATTTTAGATATTAGATTAGAAGGAATTTGAATGCGTGCGTATATTGATGCTAGAACATACTAAAATTACAAATTTCAAAGGTGATATTTTTTAACATGAATTTTTTTTCGAAGATCTTCCATAGTTACGGGGACAGGAGTGTGAGTGTGTAGGTGGGGATGAAGTTAAAAAAAGTCTACTTCTCTCAAGTAATTACACTGTCATGGTGTTCGTGTTTGGGGGATCTGTCCTGGTCCCCGGGGACTGGGGCAGTCCTGAAGATCCAGCAGCCTGATTGATGGATTGGCTGGAGAGGGTGCCAGTCGTCCCATTACCTCGGGGTGGGTGACAGACGACGAAATAATGATCTCACACGAGGCTGGCCGTAGGTCTACGACTTGGTGGCTCTTAATGGCGTGGTCTTAGGTGTAGGTCTACGACTTGGTGGCCATAAGGTTTGTGGCCATAGGTTCTGGACCTGCGGCGTTGGCCATATGGTGTGTGGCCATAGGTTTAGACCTGCGACAGTGGCCATAGCGTATTTAGCCATAGGTTTAGACCTACGACTCCACCCATCAGACCCCTCCCCCCCCCCCTAACTAGCCTGTAACTATGGCAGCAAGGTGAAGAAATCTGGGCAGACGGCGAGAAAATGTAAGGATTAGGCAGAGAGGAGAAAATCTCTGCCGTCTGCTAATGTGGAACTGGCAAGAGACGGGGTGTCCAGATTTTCTACTAGCTATCGATTAAATCTCGTTCGATTTTCTAATTTAAATCCCGAGGAAAGAAGGGGGGGGGGGCTATTAGAGTAACATTTTCTTTCATTATTTCAAGTCATCCTTTTAGACATTTTTTTCTTCTTCAAAATTTGAAATAAAAAATAAGTTCTTTAAATGTTGAAAAACTATCTTCAATAAATAGAACACATTAATTATTTAAACTAAGTGCAAAGCCAGAAGTAGTAGGCCTATACTTTAAAGCTTTTATGTTTCAATAAGATATTTGACTTAATGTAACATAAACGTTGTAAATAAACGTGGAACTATTTTGTTCAGGGAACGAGCGTGACGCCAAAGACTTATCACGACTGCGGAGCCTGAACATCAGCTATGTCCTGAACGTGACGTCACACGTGCCCCAGTATTACGATGAGCAAGGGATTCGATACAAGCGAATACCGGCATCTGACAACGCACAGCAGAACCTGAAACAGTATTTTGAGGAGGCAATCGAATATATCGGTGAGTAGTCGATTCTTATTTGAGTGAGGTTTAAAGCCATGTATTTGAGATCAATTAACCAGAAGGCATTTCCGACACGTTTTTGTAACGGTTTCGGTGGTACTTGGACGATGAAAGGATTCATCATTAGATGTTATATGTTGGTAGTCTGGTCTTGTCATGTCTAGATGGGGCTTGGTAGGGCTTCCAGGTTTTAGAGGTATGGCAAGGTCTCAGACTTTGGGGATGTGTGCAGGGTATTGTGGTGTGGTATGGAGGGGTGTAGTTTGTTGTGTGGTATGGAGAGGTGTAGTTTTGTGAAGTGCTGTGTGGGGTGGTGTGGATGGATTAAGAAATATCAGGTATGGTAAGGGGATGTGTAAATTAATGCTGATGAGAGACGGTAGATATATCAACACTTGAAGTGTCACACTTACCTTATACATACCTCACGCTTACCTCATAATTATCTAAGCTTAGATTTTTAAATAAACGAACACATTGCTGTAATACAATATATTACACTAGCAGGAATGTGTCAAAATGTTCTATTTCCTTTATTGACCTCTTGAGACTACTGTTAGTGCTACTCTCTTGTCTTGGCTCTATAAAGGCTCGCAGGGCTGGTGGCCCAGTGCACCACAAAGTCTGGCACCCTCATTTGCATAACGAAGGGACTAATTAATCATGACTCACTCCCGCTCTGCTAAACTGTGTCGATGACGTCATTGACAACCTTGGTACTCCCCACCCCCTCTCCCTCCTTAATGACCGCCACCCGAGCCTGGCTGTCCAGGGGAGGGGGGGTGTAATGGAGCTTGTGACGTCAGACACACAACGCTTTTCTTGTTTTAGGTTGAACTCCGCCCACCCCCCCCCCCCCCTCCCCCACCTCATGTAAACCCGCTAGGCACCAATTAGGATATTTCTCTAGTCCAGTATCGACGTTTTAGACTGTCCACAAATTTTCTCACACGAACCCAAATATCGCGTAGTTTCACTGTGACATTACCATGAAGTCACCTCACTTCTCTCCTCCCCCCCCCCCCCCTCTCCCAAACCACACACCCTGGGACCAATTCAAACTGCCGCCTCCCAGACGTTTGAATATTTGGCATCGGAATGACGGCCAGATTTGAGTTCCAGATGGCCAGGGCTCCTCGTGGTCATCGATTACAATGACGCAAGCATCAGAACAATGACCCGGCCGAGATGCCTTTTTTTTAAAACCTTTCTTTTTTTTTCTAAACCTTCCTTTTTTTTAAAAAAAAAAAAAATCTTTTTTCTCTCCCTAAAATAAAATCATTAATGCAAGTCTGGAAGAAAATTTTTTTTTTATACCATCAGGTCCCACCCTGTAGTTGGTAGCAGCGCCTCATTGGGCTGATTTTATCTGCCGTTAGCCATACTTTCATTCCATTGATGCCTTAACTTAGTCACAAAGGTCCTCCCCCTCCCCACGCCCTCCCTACATCCTTCCTACAAATGTTATCTCTTAGATCTTCAAACTTCCAACGTCGTCACCCCCGTCCACCATTTTAATTACCGAATTCTTTAATTAGCACATCGATACTAATTATTCAGCGCCTTGCTTTTTAATCTCTTTACAATAGAAATAATGAAGAAAGGCTTTAGTGCATAACTCGTTGAGTTGAACTTGGTAATGTGGCAGGCAGGTGTTACATCAGTCAGTGGACCATAACCAAGGTGGATAGAGTTAGTGAAAACATCAGAAGCAGTGGCGTAGCCAGGATCGTCTCAAGGGGGGGGGGGGGGTTCCAATTTTTACCCGGGGACAAACTTTCGATTTGCACTCCCCCCCCCCCCAACTTTCGATTTGCACACCCCCCCCCCCCCCCCAACTTTCGATTTGCACCTCCCTCCCCAAACTTTCGATTTGCACCTCCCTCCTCAAACTTTCGATTTGCACCCCCTCATACTTTATATATATATATATATATATACCGAGGGGTCTATGGGGGTTATGACCCCCCCCCTCCTAACACCACCCCTTGCCTACGCCACTGATCAGAAGTGCTCATGGTACTTAGTGAATGGAATTAGTCATACGATTATAGACGGAGTTGTTTGTAAAAAAAAATCTTTTATTCATTGGCGTTATCTTCGATAGGATTTTTCGCTACGACATCCTATACTTCTCATGTATCTGTCTGGTCTATGTATTGACGACCGTATGAAGGCTCATCACCAGAAGTTACTAGAAACTAGAGTAACCGAAACACGCTAATACTTTCTAAGGCCGTGATACGAACACAGTGGAGTTAGTGCTTATGTTCTTGCTAATTTGGATCTCGTATTAAAACAACTACCATATCACCTTGAGTGATAAAATAGGCCGTGAGTTCACACGCACCAGTCTCGTGCATGTCTCCGTGAGGCCGCGAGAATTGACGAGACGCTGCAGTTATTTGATACACTGTACCTTGGCCTGTTACAAGTTGCCAACACCAAAATGACAAACATGGACAACTCGGGATCACCTAAAAAAACGTGTTCTCTTGTGTTCTCGTGATTGTCTCTTGTTCTCGCGTTTGTCTCGTGTTCGGAGGAAGAACAAAATCGATTGTTTACGCCTCTCTTACCCTCCTCTTGTTCTCTCAATACCGTTTGTTTCATGGAAATCTTTTGGGAGTTGTCTGTGCGCCCGGATTTAGATTATTTCCCTTTTTTCTTTCTTTTTTCTTTTCCTTTTTTTTTGTTCAAGTAGATAAAACAATTCAATCAACTTTCTTTTTTTAACGTCATCGCTTTTTGTTTTAGTTTTATTATTTCTGCTTTTTGACAAAAATTGGATATTCTGATAAAACTGCACTCCTGTATTGAAAAAATGAAAAGATGACAAACAAACTGAAGACATTTGACATTACAATATTACACAACACTATGTTAGTTTAGCTCCGAGAGACAAGTTCACATTTCAGACTTCACTAAAGATAACAATTCGTGTGATTAGAGCTCAACAACATAATGTCCCCGACGATGACAACGGCGATGAAACCATTACTTCAGAGATCAAATTTTTATTTACCTCATTCATCGATGTGCATTCACAAGTGATCCAACTGTTTTAACATGGTTTATAAAGTTGGATTTGTAGTGTTCAGCTAGCTTTACATTTTATTTTATTTTTTTATTTATTTTTTATTTTCGGTGAATCTCAAACAGTGAGTTTCCGACCCCACTCATCGCGAAGGAACATTTTTTTATTCCCACGTATAACAATCCTCTTTTTTTACCCCACTTCCGGTTTCACCCACTTTAAATCTCGCGCTCACCCGATATTTTATTTATAAGAAACCTGACCACGAGCTAGGCTGTAAAACAAAATTATCGTCTGTGGTTTGGTAAGCCGAGGGGGAAAAATCACGTGACCATTCCCACGTGACGCCCGTAGCTGCGCGCAAGTGAATTTGATTTGCGCCATGCTTGATATAGAACGATTGAAACCTCTTGAAACATTCGGAATCATCAACGTTCTCGGCTGAAACCATCAACATTGTCGTCTGCAATAATTTCTTCTATTGATTTCTACTTTCTTGCGTGGTATCCCCACCCCCCGGCGACACGCTTCATTTAATTGTCTCGTGGTTTAACCACCCCTACACCACGGGTTTAGAATATACAAACTACGCCCCCTTCCCCTCCCCCTCCCACGCCATGACAATTTTCCATGATGAAAATTATAGTTTTATTGACTAGCTTGACGTACCTCACTGGGTATAACTTGGACAAAGACAACGTATTACATTCTCAATCTCAATCCCTTTCATTTAGAACTACCGTATCTCGCAAATTGATATATTTATACTGAACTGCCGTGTCTCTCAATCAGACATCTTTATAAAGAACTACCATGTCTCGCATAAAGATGGTTATTTTGCTTGATTGAAATTGTAGACTTTTAACATGGATTAATTAACTAATTGGCTAATAATAATCGTCCGTCTGCCGTGATCGTTTGTCCGGCTGTTGGTCCGGTCGCCGGTTAAAACGCCGGTCTGGCCTCTAACACCCCAGCCGGTTGTTACAGCAAGGTGTTTTAAAGTTTTCAAACACCGCCGACTGCCGGGTCACGATCAAATGTAGGTCAACATGCAGATGTTACGCTAGAGGTCGAGGCGGGATGGGGGGAGGTGGGGTAGGGGGAAGGTTATGGGGTGAGCAGTCTAACCACCCCAAGCTGTTACAGTGACAGGTGCTACTTCTTAATCACCCCACTCTCCATAAGTCTCTTCAGTCTGACTCACTGTCACCCCCCCCCCCCTCTCCCCAGCCCGTCACACAAATGCACTCACACGCGCGCACTAACGCCTTTACAAACCCCCAACTTTCTACTCCAACATTTTTAAAAAAAGATTTAATAATTTTTCTTAAATAAAAAAAGTGTAATTATCAGGCACATTTAAATCCTGGAAAGATCTTTATTTTAATTTTTGTTGCGGGGTGGGGGTGGGGGGTGCAATTAGTCTGAATCCAGAGCTTTGTCTGTGATGCGGATATTAAAAGACGTCTACGTATAAAAATGGACATGTTTCCTAACTCTGGATAAAGAGATCTTAAAAAAAAAAACTGGCGTATAAACACCGGTGTGTAGGTGAGTCATCTGACGTCAGCAGGTACCGCCCTCACCCTGAGCCGTGCAGGTAATACCTGGCAGTTCAGGTACCGCAGGGGACCGCGCGAGTCAGGCCGGTGTTTGATTGGGGGAGGGGAGGGCGGGGGCGGGAAGAGTTTGAATCGATAGCTGCATTGTGGTTGACGATATTTTAAAATGTTATTTGACACGAGTTTTTTTTTTAGTTCATGAAAGGGGAGTTAAAAAAAAAACACCAGGCGTACAGATGCCTGCTCTTATTCAATACTCGCTCCACTACACCCCCAACATACACGTTACACGAACAAACAGCCAGGCACAACAAATCTATGCTAACTTCTGCAGGGGAATGACCTCAGCCAGTTGTTTTATCCTCATACAAGTCTGTATTTGAACTTGGGATTTG